CCTGGGACTTCGCACAACATCCTCACCCATACTGTCCCCCAACCAGTGTCCAAAGCCCAGTCCCCACGTGCTGTGTCCCCTGATTTATCACTACCCACCCCAGCCCCTGGAGTTCCCAAGCCTCCTTCACATCTCTGTCCCCAGCCCCTGGTTCCTCATTTGGGTGGCGGCGCCCCTTGGCAACAGGCTGGGGGCTCTCAGCCCTGGTGCCCAAGTTGCTTCTGGAGCGCAACAGAAAGAAGGAGAAAGGACAGGAAGTGGAACCTGCCACTTCTCTGTGTGTGTTGCACACCCAGACCAGGTACCCAGGGCCACTGCCTCCAGTAGGACTCTAAGTCCCAGAGGGTGAGGACCAAGTCATTCTATTACTTCAGCAGCGTCAGAGGCAGCTGGGGGCTTTTGAAATTGTGGAAAATAGTTGACTTATAAACATTGCCCATGGAGGGCTCGTGCTGAGGGAGCCCATGGGCGGGGGAGGAGATGGAGACACGCAGGTCCTGCTCCTGCTCTCCGGGGATCTCCTGGAGGCAGGAACCTTTGCAATTCGCTCATTGACAATTTCCAGCATGTGAACGGGGCCAGGCATGCAGTGGGCGTCCTCGGGATGCCGACTACAGGAACCATCCCTCCAGGACCCGGAGGCTGAGCGCCCCATATAAGGCAGGGCGGCCCTGACTGCATCTGAGTGGTGACTCAGATCTGCGGAGTCCACAGTGGAGACAGCGCAGGAGCCCTGGGGCAGGGCCAAAAGGGATGTGGTCAACCCAAACCAAGCAAGGGGCAGGTTTTTAAAAGCACGTGGCCACATTGCCTGGGAGCAGCGTTCTAAGCTGTGCTTTGTTTTTATTTATTTTTTTCATCGTTTTCTGCTAAGCAATCATTTTTTTTCCCTAATGAAATAAGCCGCACCCTAAATGCATAACAGACCTGTGGCAGCGGGCACCAGCCAGGCCAGCTCCAGTGGGGACAGCGCCCTTCTCCCCTGGACTGCTGGGCTGGTCGCCTGGGAAAGGCCCCTATCTGAGAGGCCATTTAAGCCAAGTAAACCCCAAAGAGTCTGCAGAAATCCTCCCCCCCCCCACACACACACCCCCCGCAGTGAAGGGGCGGCAGGGAGCGAGGGAGGGAAAGGTGCTATGGGGTGGCGCTCGGGAGCGCAGGACCCTCGGGGAGAAGGGCTTTCTGGGATAAGCCTTTGGGAAGTGAGGCACAACCTGGGGACAGGCGGTGCCGGGTGTGTTCTTAAGCCAGGCTTCTTTCCTCCCCCTTTGTTCTGCAGGGCCGGGGATCAGGAGCGCGGGCCAGGCAAGCGCGCTGCCCAGCTCCGCCCCAGCCAGGTCAGGCTTTTAGATGCCAGATTCACCCAAAATCAGGCACCTGTCCCAGGAAGGCCAACCCGGGTCGCATGAACCACGGGAAGAGGGACAAGTCGGAGCCCCCGTTGCTTCCCGCGCGCTCGGCGTCTGCCCCGCACTGCACTCCTTTGTCCTGGTGAGAACAGCGCCTGGATTTCCCTCCGAGAAACCTCCCCGCTCGGCATTCCAGAGATTCCCCACGACACGCCCCATCGGCACCAGCCACGCCCCACTAACCTCGTCCGCCAATCAGCACATTAGCCTCCAGGTTTCAATGATTGGTCAGAGACGATCATGTGACCACACCAGCCAATGAGCTTCGACTCTGGGGCTGTGGTTGAACTCCCGGGGAAAAGCTGCTCCCCTTCTGCCTGGGGTTGGAACTGGGAGCCGCACAGCAGCCTGGAGCTGCGGGCCTCGGTCGTGCCGCCACGCGGGGATGCCCGCTGGGGACTGAGGCCCACGGGAGAGAAGCAGGGGCACAGATGTGGTGTGACACATCCAATGGGCAAAGGCCCTGAATTCAGTACTGACTCAACACCAGTAAACAGACCCTAAATGGCCGATTTATTCAACACCAAGAAAAGACCAACCTGTCACCTGTCTTACTGACCCCGTTGGGCGTTGCTTCCTAGTGACACGGCACCTGCCGTCTTGCACAGCCTGTGCCTCCCCTCCCCATCTTAGGACCCATCTTTGGCTCTTCGTTCTTTGAAATATGTTATTTATTTCTGGATGGTATAATAGTTGTACATATCGGTGTACAACCCGTAACGATCAGATCCGGCAGTTGGCATCTTCATCAGTTCATCACCCCAGAAGTTATCATTTCTTTATGTCAGGAACATTCAAAATTATGTCAACCAGCTATTCTGAAATATGCAGAGAATTTTTGTCACCCATAGTTACAAATTTTTGACAAAAGGGCTCGGACAATAATTCACCTATGCTGTACAATGTAGTTTGACATTTTGCAGGCAAATTTTGATGTTGTGAAATTCTCACTTTTCCATTAGGTCTATTTTCTTTTTCCTTTGAAAAAAAAGTTTTCTCTATTTTGAGACAGGGTCTCCCTAAGTTGCCCAGGATTTGCGGTCCTCCTGCCTCAGTCTCCTGAGACGTCCCTGGTCCTTGCTTACCTGAACCTGAGGGACTCTTGGACCCTGGGACAGTACTGGGCCAGCTGAGCTGCGCTTGCCTCCATCCATTGTCCCAGCTGCTGGGCCCCTCTTGGGAGGCTATTTGGGTGACTAGTGAGACCCCTGCACCCTGACTGAGAGCCACTCATTCAGTCCCTCTCCTTATTGTCCCAAACATGGACCTTCGGAGGAGACAGACTCAACACCATGAATGTTCATTGGGTCCTGGAATCCAGCCACTCCTGAACTTGGGGCAGGAGGGGCCACCCCAGGTCTCTGGTTCAGTCTCAGAAGAACCAGCCACGGGGAGAGGCTGCAGGGGGTGGTGGGACAGCCATGGGCTCTGATGTCAAGCAGGCCATGAGAAGTGGACCTCTGACCTTCCGCATCAACTTTAAAACAGGGATCCCTCCATTGTCCACCTAGAAGCAGGCTGAAAGCCACAAACTGACCGAAGCGATGGCTGGTGACGGTGTGCAGCCACAGGAAGCCTCATTCATGGCTGACAGGGAGAGAGGGAGAGAAAGGTGCTATGGGGTGGCACTCGGGAGCACAGGACCCTAGGGAGAAGGGCTTTCTGGGGTAAGCCTTTGGGAAAGCGAGCACAGCCTGGGGACAGGTGATGCATTTGTCACATCCAATGGCCAAAATGTGGTCACTTGGTGCCCCTGCTGCATGGGAAGCTGGGAATGAGAGTCTTTGTGCTGGTGACCTCCTGGCCACGCACAGTCCGTGGAGAAGGGAGATGTATTCTGTGAAAGCCAGGCTTTCACATAGGAATGCAAAATGGGACAGCCACTCTGAAGACAGTGCCACAGGTTCTTATGAAGGTAAGAGTAGTCCTGTCGTGCCGTCCAGCAGCAGTGGCTCAAATAAGCTGAAAACTTCAGTCCGCACACACAAAAAGCTACGAACAAATGTTTACAGCAGCTCTGGTCAGAACTGCCAAACACTGGAAGCAGCTAATAGGTCCTTCAATCAGCAAGCCCATGAACGACTGCGTTGGAATGCTGTCCACAATAAAAAGAAACAAGTCATTGGAGGGCACAGAGGTGCATGTCTGTAATTCCAGAGACTCAGGAGGCTGAGGCAGGAGGGTTGCAAGTTTGAGGCCAGCCTCAATAACTTAGTGAGGCCCTAAACAACTTGGCAAGAGCCTGTCTGAAAATAAAAATAAAAAGGGCTGGGGGTGAGACTCAGGGGTGAGAGCCCCTGGGTTCAAACACTTGTTCCAAAAAAAAAAATTTAAAACAAACTGCCATACACAGAAAGACACAGGGAACCTTAAATACATATTTCTAGGCGAAAGAAGCCTGTCTCAAGGCTGTGCACTGTTGACTCCAGCCATCTAGACAAGGCAAAATGACAGTGACGGTACAAACTGGTGCCGGGGAGGAACATGGAAGATTGAAAAAAGAACCAGGGAATGTCCCACCTGCTAGGCAGAGGAGCCGGGATTCATCTCCCTTCTCCACGGACTGTGCGTGGCCAGGAGGTCACCAGCACAAAGCCTCTCATTCCCAGCTTCCCATGCAGCAGGGGCACCAAGTGACCACATTCTGGCCATTGGATGTGACAAATGCATCAGCTTAGAAGAAGGCAGCACCCCCTCCTCTGCTGACGTCCCCTCCCTGATGATCAGGTTGGGGACACCACGGTGGGTCACGTGGACAATAATGGTGGAGCTGTAGACGGAAGGAACCCGGGCCCCAGTGGCTTCCGTGAAAGAATCGCTTTACTTGGGATTTTACTTAGAAAAAATTTCCCCTCCCTGTTGCTTAAGAAACTGATATTTGGGTTTTTGTTACGGCTGAACAATCTCTGATGGCCAGGCACCTCCAGGATGCTCTCAGGGCTCTGCACAGCACAGGTAAACACCTGTCAGTCAGTCAGCCCTTAGCGGGCCAGCTTCCTGTGCTGGGGTTCAACCACGAACAAGGCAGAGGCGGAGTCCACATCCTAGCTGGGGGCAGGCCATCCATGTGACCATGCTGCATGGTGGACTGCCGCGTGCGCAGGAATGCAACGTGGGCTCTTGGGTTCTTCGCCTGCTGAGCCCTTTTTATCTATTTTCTATTTTTTAATATTTATTTTTTAGCTGTAGTTGAACACAATATCTTTTATTTACTTTACTTATGTTTATGTGGTGCTGAGGTTCGGACCCAGGGCCTCGTGCGTGTGAGGCGAGCTCTGTACGGCGGAGCCCCAACCCCAGCCCTTTATCCATTATCCTAAACACAAAGCCAGGAGGTGAGGCGGTTCCTTCCTAATTTGACTAATGGGTCAGAAGAGACACAGAGAGGTTGAGGAACAGGTCCTGGGCCACACTGGTGGTTCCCAAATTTGAGCGTAGGTCTGTTAGAGCTCAGAGCCTTAACACTGGGCCCTCCTGCCAACAGGGACTGAAATGGGGCTGTGTCGGAGAATGGAGGTCCCCGCTGGTGGTCACACTTAGCCGCAATAAAAGTAGCATAAAACCCCTTGGTGACAAGCCCGAGTCCCTTACCTGGTAGATGGCGCTGGGAAGCCTTCTAAGGGTCGTGCCTGTGTTTCTAGAATCTTCTTTAAGAGCAGCTCTGCTGGCGGGCTCAGAGTGCGGGTTCCAGCAGGCTCCAGGTGCACCTGTGGGGAGAAGAGGAGCAGCCATGACTGCCTGGTGGGGTGCTTCACGGGGTTCAGCTCTGCCCAGGGCCCTTCTTCCTGTTTGGAGGCTCCCAGGCCCTGGAGGAGGCGGAGGGAGGAGGCAGAGGCCTCAGCAGCGGGACAGGGGTCCCACCGCGTGGGTCCCGGCTGAAGCAGCCTGGAAACAACCCTAAGACACAGAGACAGACATGAGCCCGTGTGTGCAGGTCCCAAGTGACAACACAAGTGTCACAGCCACTGCATGAAGCAGAGTGCCCCCTGCAGAGGTGGAGGCTCAGCAAATGCTTCATGATTTGCTTCAATGTAAGACAGGACTCGCCATGTCTGCACAAGCGGAAGGAAAGGTGGAGACCCTGAGCCCATGGGAGAGAAATTCCTTCCTCTTGTCAACCTGCATTCTTGGAATGCTCCGGCCAACCCAACCAGTGCTTCTTTGTACCAATGAAACCGATGCCCAGAGAGGGGCAGTGATTAGCCCAAAGTCACACAGTAAATTGTCTAGCAAGGCCTGAACTCCTGTTCTCTCTTCATGCGTGGCAGGTGCTCTCTCCAGGGCAGTGCCCTCCTTTGCCATTTCAAGACTCGTAACCCCTAGAGCAGTCCCAGGCTCAGCAGAGCCTGCTGCGTGCCAACAGGTGGCTCTCTCTACCGTGTAGGGCCACAGCAGGGAACAGCTTCCTGGCTGTGTTCAAGTGCAGACCAGGTGCGGGAGGCAGTGTGCACAGTGGTCAGCAGCGTGGGCTGCAGAGGCAGGTGGCCCTCAGTCACATGCTGGGGTCACCCCTTTCCAGAAATGGGGCCTTGGGCGCCTCGGGTCTCAGGGCGCTGGTGTCTTCATTTTAAGCAGCTAACAATAGCCGCTGTCCCCAAAGACTGCTGGGAGTTAAAATGACCTCATTAAGTCTGGGAAACCCGCAGGTGAGCACTTGGCATACAGAGGTCGCTCAATAAATGTCAGGGAGGTGCTGAGATGAGGGCGGTGTGCGCGGGAGGAGAGGAGGGGCGCGGCGGGAGGGGCAGTGTGTCCCTGGCACATTGGGTCTCAGACACAGGGCACCTGCGAGACCTCCCAGCCCGGCGCTGCCCTCCTTTGACCAGCCAGCGAAACGCAGGGCCATCAGCCTCTGCCAGCTAGTGAGCTACGGTCACGGGTGGCAGCAGGTACGTGAGGACCAGGGCAGGGCCCACTCCCCAGGAGGGGTGTTCTGGCATTTTCCAAAGAAAGGAAGGGACAGATGCAGGAAAGAGGCAGCTATGAGATTGCTTCAGCACCAGGAAGGGCCACTCTGGCCAGGTCACCCTGTCACCTGTCCCTGCCACAGCGCCTGTCCCCATCCTGTGTCCCTGAGTCTCTCTGGGCTTCCCCAGCATCTCCCCCTCTCAGACCTGAGGAAGAGGCTCTCCTGGGGACCCCCAGCCCAGGCCCCTTACACTGGCTGAGAAACAGGTGGTCCCCAGATGAACAGAATGGGGGGTCTTTGCCTTGGGGGGGCTGTAGCTGTGGGCCCCACTCCTGCGGGCAGGAGTCCTATGGTCCGATCCAGCCCACCTGCCACCGCCCTCAGGCGCCCTGGCCTGCCCTGGGCCTCGGAGTCCCTGTCTGTCAACTCGGTGTTGGGAGCCCACCGCGAACACCGCGAACCCCTGCAGCCTCAGGATGGTCCGAGGCTCACAAGGCACAGGGAAGGGCTCTCCTGCCAGACCCCCGTGACACCAGCAGACCCCAGGAGGGGCTGTGTCACATGCTGGCTTCCTGGGGGAGGTGGTGTGAGCATGGAGGGCGTGGGGTGCTGTGGCAGAGACCAGGAGGGAGGACAGGGAGGGTGTTCAGGACCCCGCCGGGTGCCTGGGAGGAGGCTGGGGACGGGGCGCCCGTGGCCGGTGCTTCACACATTTCCCAATCTATCCCGACAGCGCCGAATTCTTGCTGACAGATGGGAAAGTGAGGCTCAGCAAGATCAGCTCAGCGGACGCACAGCTGTGAGAGAGACGGGGTTTGAGCCCACGTTGGATTTCAGAACAGAAGCTGGTTTTGGTCACTGTGGAATGTGACCATGAAGATTGTTTAAAATGGAAGGTGAATCCGGGCGCGGTGGCCCACGCCTGTGATCCCAGCAGCTCAGGAGGCTGAGGCAGGAGGATCTTGAATTCAAAGCCAGCCTCAGCAAAAAGCAAGGCACTAAGCCACTCAGTGAGCCCCTGTCTCCAAATAAAAAATGAAAAGGCTGGGAGGTGGCTCAGGGGTCAGCTCTCCTGGTGACACCCTCCCCCAATGTGAATCAGAGGAACTGAGGTCTGTGTCACAAATGTAGCCCGCAAGGGCAGGTGCCACCGCGTCTGTGCTGGGGGCTCTCGGGGTGCGAACATGCGCAGCCTGCATGTCCTACCCCATGCTCTCCGCCGTCCCTCAGCTGCCTGTCCACCTGGGGACAGATCCTGAGGATAACGGCTGAGATGCCCAGGGCTGCTGCCAGCCAGGCAGCAGTGAGGGCCCAGCCACGGGCTGGCCAGCCTGCGTCCCCACCCCGGGGTGGCCGTCCACCTCTCCATGCCTCGGGAAGCCTCCGAGTTGCTGAGAAACCCCAGGGGGAGTGCCAGGGTGCGCCAGCCCACCCAGAGGTTGTTCCCAGGGGCCAGGGTGATCCCAGGGAGCCGTGAGGGAGCCTCGTCCCTCCTGCCCCTCCCCGGCCTCAGTGTCCCCAGTTCATCGCTTGGAGCAGTGCTCGGCCCTGGGGCGTCTGGACTTCCAGGTCACTGTCTGCGATGCCGTCAGGGCTGCAGCTAATTTGCCAGGAGCCAGAAGGCCATCAAGCAGCGGAGAGCTGAGGCCCAGGGTCGTTGAATCTGCACAGGAGTGGGCAGGACAGGGGTTTGACGTTGGAGCCACCGACCAGGAAGGGACGGGAACCTCTAGGAAGAGGGGGGTGTGTGGGGAGGGAGGGGCAGAGCTGCTGAACGAGAACGTGGGCACAGTCCCCAAGTTCACATTGGGCTGGTCCAAAAGTCACGGAGTCCGTGAATATGCCTCCTTAGGAAGCATTGATTGAGCACCTGAGGGAAGGGGTGGGCAGGGCCTGGAGGGGGCATGAAGAAGGGGGTGTGCCCCCAGATCTGCCATGGCCACCGACTGAGTGGCCTGGGCCAGGCCTCCCACTTCCCTGAGCCTCAGTTTCCTGCCCGAAAAAGTGGAAAGAATACAGCCGCCTCCCAGGGATGGATCAGACCCCATCAGACACAGGAAGCCCCTTGAACTCAATGAGCTTGTTTTGTTGTTGTTGTTGTTGGTAATTGGCTGTGGCTTCTATTAACTAAGATGCCCTTTCCCTCTTGCACAAGAGGACAGTGACGCTCAAGGTCAAATCCCTGGAGAGGATGGGCCAGGCCGGGTCTCAAATCACAGGAGAAGCAGTTATGAGCACATAAACCAGGATGACTCAGAGAAGAGCCTTGATTTTAAAATATTGTTAAAGGAAAAGACTGTTTTATGATTTTTGCATGGTGCGCTTATTAAACCCCAGCTATAAATGTGAACTAATAAATAAAATGAGTTAAGTTAATGAAAAAAAAAAACAAAACCCAACCTTCAGGATGGATCCATGGTACCTAATAGCAGCCCATAAACATAAACATAAAATTTAAAATAAAGAATGAATCGTCGTGCCCAGCAGCTCAGGGAAGCCTCCATTTCTCCACCTGGAAAATAAAATCTATTGATTTTACAGGGTTCTCATGGCTCACGAGTAGGTCTTGGGGAAGTCATAAAGGAAGGAATTATTTCCGACTGTTTACTCACAGAGGATCCTATGTGTTGAACTTAAACCGTCTCCCGTTCCTAATTAGAATCCGAGCACAGCAGAGCCGCGGAGGCCCGCGGAGGAGGCTCAGAGTGACTTGCCTATGACCACACAGCCCAGGAGGAGCCAGGCTAAAACCAGGACTCTGCATCAAGGACAGGGTCCTGCTCTGGTCACCGAGACCCCAGGGCCGGGTCATTGAATCCAGTGGATGTGCTGGGGGGCACCCCGGTGGCTTCTGCTCCCAGCTGCTGGGAAAAGTAACCTCCCCAGGAAGGGAGCTTCCGAGCCAGACACAGCCCAGGGCGAGGGGGGAGACCGCCGCAGGTTTCGGGTTGTAGGATGGCAGGTAGGAAGCAGAGGGCGCCTGGGCCAGCAGACAGGGGACACCCTGGGGCCCAGGTCTCCTCTGACAGGGGTGCATACCTGCCCAGGCCCGGGTCAGGTGAGGCTGTACTGTAGGGGTGGGGGTGACATCAACTCAGCCAGCCCCCCCACCCAGGCCCAGGGACCTTCACGTGGGCGAGTGCACACGTGTGTGTTGATGTTAAGTCTCAGGCTGCACGTGATCATGAAGCAGATGTTTAATTACCACCCGAGTGTCATTAATCAACGCGATTAATACACAGCCCGCACCCCATCGTTACTTTGCAATTACACCGAAGCGCAATCCTGGATCGCCAAGGATGCGCCATCACCCAGCCCGCCAGAGGGCAGGTAGAGCTGCTGGGTTTCCTCCCTCTCCTCCCGCCCCCAGCCCTGCCCTCTGCTCTTAATCACACAGAGTGGGGAGCCCCGTTCCCCTCAGGGGCTGCTTCTGCTACCAGGTCACTTCTGAAAGGAACCCCAGTCGCCCTCGCCCTCTCCTCTGGGCTCCTCAGCTTGGAACATGGCCAGCAGGAGATCCCCGGGGCAAGGGGCCTCCGTTTCAAAGACAGAGAGTAGCAACGACCCCAGAGGATTCTAGAATTTTAAAATGCCGCGCGCCCAGCCCAGAGGAAGGCCTTGGGGACCCCACGCAGCTCTGATCGCTTGTGCTTTCCCAGAGATGAAGCCTGCCAAAGTCCTCCGTTTCCCCAACTCACGGGATGGGACGTTGGCTTCCTTTCCCCTCCCCCAGCGCCTAGTCCCATGGGCCTGGAAACCGCTCCTTACAGTGTCCCTCCCTGCCACCTGCCACCTCCG